AAAAAAAAAAAAAAAAAGAAAGAAAGAAAAATAAAAATAAAAAATAAAAATTTGGGACCTAAAAGGCTGGACTGTATAAGCATAGCAGTTTTTTCTTCCCTTTTAACCTCATCAATTTTTTGTTGAATTTCTGCATGTAACATATTAACATATTTTCCTGAAAATACAGCTTTCTCAATTTATTTTCCTAAGATGAGTTGTTGGATGCAGGTTGAAGAGAGGGGCTCTTTGTATTGTTTTTCAAAATACCCAGGGGCCTGTCACCATCTTGTGAATCTGAAAAAAGCAGTTTAATGAACGGTAACAACATTGATTCCACATCTTCTACATTTCCGTCTGAGAAATAAGGCAAGATATAATTTAGTGCACTGATAACATCACTTTCATCATTGATGTCCAGCTGCTCACTCCCAAAGCCTAACAAGTTGATGCCATTGCCGTCTGAAGGCATCTCCGGCTCAATAGTCAGCTCAGTGCTCATGTGCTTCTTCTGGGCTTGTAACACCTTCATGAACGCTCCTCAGGGACTCCCTATAGATGCTTCTCCAACTGTCAAAAAAGAAGAGACTGCTTTGATAATGAAAGATGTTGGGACGGCATGGATCAGTCCACCGCTGTTCGCCCCAGTCATACAGAGTAGGAGTCAGCAAACATTCAAGTGCCATTCAGACAGGAAAAACATACACCCAAACCTAAACCTATGAAATGGCAACAACAAAAAAAGGAAAAGACATGTTTTGAAAACATGGCCACCTACTTGGAACATTTCACAGTGTGACATAGATTAACTCTGCTTAGGATTATTCCATTGATTCCTAGAGCCCAATTGCCCAGAGCTCAGTCAAAGCCCAAGGTGGAAGACAAGTGCTTCCCTGATGAGCTAGCCTCTCAGCAGACTGCTCTGTACCCTGTGCTGTCCTGCCTCAGATGCAGGGAGAGCACAAGTCTCGCTGTCTCCTCGTAGTCAGTGTGCCTGCGTTCTTCCTACTATCACAGGTGAATGCAATGAAAGGCAGCCCTTTGAGAGGAGCAGGGGTGGAGATGCTCAAGCGAGGGCCCCTCCCATTGCTGATAGATCCTCATCTGGCATATGCTCTGTCCACTCACCCCATTCTCTGCTTCCACGTATACTGGCCCTATAACAGAAGACTTGACAGGGAAAAATACACTGTGTCCATCTTAGTTCTTTTTTTAAATTTGAGTAGGAATCTGGTGTGTAGCTTAAGAAATTTTTAATTTGTCAGGTTGTATGCCTATGTTGTCTAATGTACAATGAATGTATGGTATAATAGCAATTTCTGGATAAACATTACTTGAGGTCCTAAAATGCAGAAGGGAAAAAGCAACTTTTGTCAGATGCCGACTTTGCTTTCATTTCATCTCTAACATTTTGGATGGGAAATCATCCAAAGCTTCCGACTGCATGAAGGTCAAGTATGCCACTGTGCAGCTGAGTGTCTTTTCCAGAATTACAAGTATTCTGGGTGATGGTGAGGGTCAGAAGGTGAAGATTGTGAGAAAGGAGAAACATGGGCTTGGGGAGAACCCAGAACTGCGGGCAGAAGACCTGGCACTCGGCTACAGCACTTAGCACCTCTAATCTTGTTTTTCTTTATCTGTAAAAGGAGATTAACAATGCTTTTCTACCCACCTCTTGGCGAGAAGGAAATAATACAATTCGTTAAAAAAAAAAAGTTTTGAAAAATAAGCAACACTATCTTTGTGTAAGTAGCCAAGCATTATTTATTACACCCTGTATCAGTGGTAGATACCTGTATTCAAGCTACCTGGACATGAAAGCAGTCACATTTTAGAAGTCATGAAGTTGGTGCTAATAAACCAAATATACACAAAAACACTTGAAAGCACTTGAGTGTTTGTTCTGTGAAAAGAAAGGTCTGAAATTCAGAGCAACTTCAGAGTTGGATGGTCTAAGAATGCAAAAGCCCTCCATTACATTAGAAGAGCCAGGTAGCAATTTCTGGTTATGGAACCAGAAGCTCTCAGGCTTCAAATAAAACAGCATCACTTGTACTCTTATAAAATTCTAAAAACAAAAAAACCAAAACCAGTTCTATAACTGTTCTATAAGGCAGAGGTACCTGAGACCTCATGTATATAAAGCCAGCTTACACTATATGAATAAATTACCACTGGGGACAAAGTACCAAACAGAGAGCACAGTACACAGTGTGTGAATATTAATGTTACTCCCTAGCCTTTCTATTCCTTTGTCTTGGTCCTGTATGCATATGCAGTTCTATTATTAAGTTTTATAACTGAGAACTTGACTCTCAACAAGAGAGTAGTTCAGAAATTTAGGGAGTTTAACTCTGAATGAGTAAAGAAAAATAAAGCAATTATATCATTAGCTTAAAATTTTATCAATTAAAAATAAAAAATTAAAAACAAATACTTAAAATAATGTAACAGTTTATCACCAGGCAATTTGGACTCACGACAATGTGTGGTGTTTGTCAGACATGCACTGTTGCAATGCAGCTTGACTGTCTTGCAGACAACCTCAAAGCTATTTTTAAATTGGCACAGGCAGCAGGCCATAAGGCTAGGTAAGATCCTATAGATAAAAACACAGAACAGCCGGGCGCGGTGGCTCAAGCCTGTAATCCCAGCACTTTGGGAGGCCGAGGCGGGTGGATCACGAGGTCGAGAGATCAAGACCATCCTGGTCAACACGGTGAAACCCCGTCTCTACTAAAAATACAAAAAACATTAGCTGGGCATGGTGGTGCGTGCCTGTAATCCCAGCTACTCAGGAGGCTGAGGCAGG